AGGAGGCAAGCGTTCCTGAAGAAAGCTGACAAAAAAACTGATGGCTTCTTGATGGCAGCTCGGAACGTGTTTTCCACCTTGTGCCGCAGAAGCAACGACCGCGGTCGCCGACGAAATCAGCAAAAAAAAGTCTGTGTCTCTGGGAGATGCTCGAGCGCGGCGGGCGGAATTACTTCGCCGCGCGTGGAGTAATCACTTATTACAGGTAAGGATATTGTGAGGAGCAATCCTAAACAAATTTGATGTTCCGACGATCCTCTCGAGCACTCGTGACGACTCGTGACTCACCGCTATTTGGAAATGATCTCATTCAATTTATTTCGCGGCGCGCCTTGATACGCATCCCGATAACACGATCTCCTGCCTCTTCATGTGGTGCATAGAATGTCAATATTATGATGGACCGAATCAACAGATAAAGAAAGGATGAGACGCAGATTTGGGGAATTCCGCCGAGTCCCCAGATGATGAATGGTGGAGTACTACTTCGAGAACTTGGCGGGCAAGACCTCAGTTTCCTACAAAAAAAGGGAGACAGCTGAGGTGATCGTTGGCCTGCCCTGGCCGACGATTCTGTCTCGAAAAGATGCGGGCAACGGGGAACACGTGTTCCGTCTCCATAGCGTTATTTGCAGAGAAGTGAATGACTTCTGAACTATGATAATTTCCGGAAAAGAAAATTCGAACTCCGTCTTTCCGTAAGCACTTGCTGTTTCGATTGATTTTGACCCAACCCATGCGTTCCGGCACATCTTATGGTGAAAGCTCGTTCTAGGATCAGAATTTAATCTCGCGGTTCTCTCTCATTCCGTGAGCGCAAGGCGAGTATCGAAAGCTTTGCAGACCGACTGACCACAGCACCACAGCCATGGGCGTGAGCTCGACCCTGTAACTCATTTATGCAGAAAGTATATCTGTCGTGTTCCTGTTTTTTTCCTCTGCTCCTTTGGCAGATGTTTTCGGATGGACATCTCCGGGCTTATCTGTTAACACGTAGCGTCCCAAACTTTGCAAATTGAAGCCAATATCTCGGATCGGCATACGGACGGGCGATCCGCTCCTTTAATCGGACGCCTTTTCTGACTGCTCATTGCCTACCCGGTGTTTTCGACGGTCGTTCAATGCGTCCGCCCGTCTGTCTGCTTGCCGTTGAATCCGCGCGACGCTGGTCGAAGCGTCGCCGGATCGAGGTGTCCGGACGATCGCAATGATTTACCTGGACGAAAGAACACCAATCGGCCAGAAAAAAAACTCACCAATCTTATCTGTACGGGAGGATTATTGAATTATTTTCGGACCAAGAAAGCGAGCGAGCGACAGTCGCACCAAACAAGCAACGACCAAGAAGATTGAGATCACCAGTAAGATCTAACGTCCGTGCTACAGATTTGGTTGCGGAAACTTTCGCGAAATCTCTCCGCGCACACACCCAATCCCTGAGAGCGCGGATACGATCCGCCCAATCATGACAAAGTGTGTCCACGTTTGTTCGCACCGTTCTCTGGACCAGGCTGCACACTGAAAATCGTGTGCTCGCCTCGGAACTCGTGCGGCTTATGTGCTAAGGAGACGCGTTTCGATCACTTCGAACATACCCGATAGGTACATAGGAATTGGATCATCTACATCTACGATAATAATTCGACAGTGATCGGGGTTTCGAATTTGAATTTCTCGGTAAGCCCGTTGTCCGTTGCCCTGAGGAACCCGGTGGTCAGATGGACTCTTGAACATAAAGACTGGCGGACAAGTAGCCCGCCAGAGAGGTTCCGACGCATTCACAATGCTCCACGTTGTTCGACCGAGGGCCTGATGGACGGACGACAGACGGAGCGACTTGAACAGAGAACTTCAAAACTTGCTCTTCCTGAAATTCATAAAGCGTTCAACAAAGGCATTAAACGGCCTCGCTGGCAATGGAGACGGTACGGCGCGACTCCTGTCTGGAATCGAAAATGTCTTTTGTGGAGGTCTCACTTGTTCCCAAGTCTTCTGGACATCGGAGCAGGCGCCAGGTTGGCCTGGGAAGGCCACCGTCAGAGTCTCGCCAGCGAATAAACTCCGTAAAAACGTCAAGCAATATGCAGACGATAGCTCGGTATGTGTGCAATTCTTTTAGCATCGTCTCGCAGTTCATAAAGAAACGTTCTCCAGGTCGGACTACCGTGGTCGCCGAACGTCCACAGCTGATGATTGATGCTCTCAGCTCGTCTTCGTAACCCATCGAATGACCTAGGTTCGCGGAAGCTTCATACATACAATACCCCACCCATGCCTTCCGTGTGAGTTTCATGAATTCCGGCGAAAAAGAAAAACCAAAAGAACTAAGCCTCAGAGTCGGCAGCCGTTGCTGTTGACAGCTCCGACCGTTCCCTCGAACCTCGGGATCGAGCCGAATCAAGATAAGCATCAACGGTGAGAATGGCGTTATGGAACAGCTTGCTAAACGTTGTTGAAGGCCACTCAATAACGGGAGCAATTCACGAGTGGGGATGATCGGGTGAACGTGGAAGCCGGCTCCGCGATGTTATCTTTCGAAGACCTGGGATGCTTGTACATCTAAGTCGGAGCGAACACTAGTTCTGAAATAATCTGCGAAGGTCCGATCGCTGCCCATGCGAGAGCTGGAAACGGAGCTTAGTCGGAATTCCCTCGCCCGGACAGAGAATCGAGCATCCAACTGCGATCAACTCACTCAGGAGAAGCGACTGAACAGGCAGAAGGGAGCTGATTTCGGGGAGGCGGAGAGGAAAATTTCATTAACGGTGGCGGCCGCCGCCACCGCCGTCACAATCACCAGTAGCAACGGCGGCGCGGAAAAGCAACGAAGAGACATCTCTCGGAGAAAGATTTCGAGCCCTCTGTTCCGCGTCAAGGCGGCGGGAGCGAGGCGATTTTCTCACATTCGTTCTTCGCCTGTGATCGATGTTGAAGAAGGATGAGAGGACGGGACGACGAGAGAGGGCCTTCTGCAGTCTGATTGTTCAAAGGACCATCACGGCGATGGTTATCGATCAGATCCAAATAATTAAAGGCAACGCACACTTACAGACGCACACAAAGTCAGATGTATCGTCTGCACCACCGCCACCACGCTCTGGCCACGCCGAATGAAATGATCGGCGACTGGGTAAGGTGCACACCGGCGCGCTGATGGATCACAATTCGATTGGCTCCTTCTTCTAAAATGGACACCCCCGGCGAAGCGTCCATCGACGTCCATAGATATTCGCCAGCTTCTTGCCCGTTCCTTTTCAGAGCTCTCGATGCACACGTGAGAATGGATACACGTTCAACATCCTGATCGTTCCCGATGATATTTTTTCTGTATTTTTTTCTGGATTCCTAATAATCATTATTAAAAGGTTTACATGGATTTTTACGCATAGCTCAAACTCGGCCTCTGGAATATTCGGATCATCAGCAGGGAAATCTGATCGAGTCCGGACGTTCGTCTCAAGGAAACTTTTGGGGTGACAAAAGTGTTAATCACAATAACTCATTCTGACAGGGAGGAGGTAAAGCTTGGAAAGGACAAAGTTGTGCCGATTTCGAGCCAGGGAGCCGTCTTCAAGATGGACTGAGAAGCTCTTCGCCAGCCTGAAAACGGTAAGCTCATGCTCATGGAATCGAGATATTGACGTTCTCGAAATATTTCGGCTGTGACTGGTGGCGATCCTTCGATTGGCACGCATGTTCCAAACGCGAGAGTAGCTGCGTTCCGATGAAGATGTGAAGTCCGCCAGAGTCCCGCGGTGATGCGATCTTTACTCGCCTCCGAAGCTACTCATTGGATATCTCGTTCGCGGCTTCGTCGACTTCTTCGGCGGCGACTTCTGCTGTGTTAATCTTATTCTGTTCACTCATTGAAGCAGCGAGCTTCTTGTCGAAGCGACAACCAACCAATATATCACCGTGAAGAAGCACACACGGCGAGTTGTCCGGGTGGCCGTAAGCTTGGCCAATCGGTGCTTCTTGAGTTTCTACTTTATTTCGTTCTTTCAAAGAAAGGAGACTTCATGCTAACGCAGTCGATGATGAGTGTTCCTCGGGAGGTTTTTCTTTGAGTTTTTTCTTCTCATTCGTACGCTTTTCCAATTCGAGCGCCTGATTGACTGTCCGTCTGCTTGGCAGGCTAACTGGCCGGTCGACCGGTCGGCCGCTCGTCGATTGCCGCTCTCCGCTGCGTTCGGTGGCGGTTCCGCATCCTGAGGTCACTTGCCTTTGTGATGAAGCACTTGTTAAGGAATAAAAACTCCCCGAATATTCGATGAGCCCACCCGAATCGATGGTCGATTTCTGACGACAATGGCTTGCGTGTTTGCTCGGGGCAACTTCGTGAGTTTGGAGCTTTCTGCAATTCTTTTCCCTCTGTAAACCACCGTCTTCCTTCATGGAACCTAGATTTCTGGACCCGCTTCCCCGCGAATAGGGTTGCGGGTCTCGAACCTGAATCCGAAGTCCTCGTAATTGTTCGTCCGGGTCGCGCACACGAATGATCCTCGAGTCGGACCATATCGTTGATCGAAGATTTCTTGTGATTGTCGCCAATTTTCGGACGCCTCTTTGATGATTTGGTAATAACCTGCACGAAACGGTCCCCTTCGACAGCATGGGCGCCTCTCGATTTAAGATGGCGAGCTTTTAAGTTGTTCACTAATGAAGTGTCACTTATAAGGCAAGCCAGAGGCTCTAGCCAGCCGTTCAACAACCGTACTGACTCGCTCACTCACAGCTGATTCGAGGTACTGCGACGAATCGGCTCCGCCCGGCGCAATCGAATGCACCGAAAGAATCCTCGCCGACGGTTCGTCATCGGGGGAGCAGAGTCTATCCACGCGGAGCCCCATCTCGATGCGACGCTTATGGGTTCGAATGGCTTTCCAGTCCGTACGGCTCCCCGCCGTCGCGTCGGTCGTTTCCCTGGTGATATCGTTAGAATGACGCAACGGGTTCTTGTTTGTTATGATCGCTGTCTCCTCCTGAGTGCGACCGACCAGTCGCTCCGCGTACTCGACTCGTTCCAAGGAATTCGGTAATTCTCTCGAGAGTCTCTATTGACCTCAATCGACCGGTGTCCTCTCTCCGTTCGATTGAGAATCGCAGCAACTTCCCGCGAGAGTCGACGGAGATGCTGACGGAGATGCCGCGAATGTCCACGAGATACACCAGCAGCCATGAAGTTCTTGATTCTGTTTGTGATTGTGACTCTGTGTTGCGTTCAATTCATTGAGTCGCGCGGTGGACGCGGAGGTCGCCGGGGCGGAAGAGGTGATACTAATTCGATGCGTATTCCCTCGGGAAGGTCGCGGCATTCGACGACGGGGAACCCGACTGAGTGTTTATACAGTGGAAATCTCTCGATTTTTCGCAGTTGGGACGAAATCAAGGGTAAACAACGCGTCGTCCTGTTCCAGGTGGTGCTTTCGGTCTCGGTGGTAACCGGCCCAGAGTCCGAATCCCGAAGGAAAGCTATAGACACGGATTAACTGCTCTGTACCTCGTCCGGCGGAAAATTAGGAACTCGAAGGGAGAGCTCACCAGCAAGGAAGAAGAGTTCATCGTCGAGAAGCCGGTCAGAAAAATATTCTACACGAGATGATGATGATAATAAACGTCAGCTCGACGATCAGATCTACCAGCTGATCATGAAATTCGATCTTTCGTTCCCGTAATAAATCACGCTGGCGGACGCCACAGCTAAGAGGTAGAGGACGACGAAACGTCTGTTCACGTTGAAGATTCCACAGACCGTGAGGATATTCTCCTTGTCGAAACCCTTCAGCACACACTGAATATCGTGAAGGCTGAAGTTTGGGTTGTTGACTCTGCGGAAGCAGACGAGCTCTCGGCACACTTTGAGGTCGTGACAGCAGAGTTGGTTGAGTTCCCCGACGACTATCAGCGTCAAACCATAGAAAGTCATCATGATGTAGGCACATGATCTCGTATGGCTCTCGTAGATATAGACGAAGATCTCGGGACGGCACGCGCCCGCTATCAGATGCAGCATCAGCGTGAACGAGTAGAGAGTGTTCAAGCACTCGAACTGAACCCTGCACTCCTTGCGTAAGTTGTAGACTGTGCCGTAATTTATCGCTTCGGACGCTTCGATGTGCTGCCTCAGCTCCTGGTAGGGCTTCCGAAGATGGACGAGCATCAGAAGAAAGAACGAATGGTTGACGAAGTCTAGAAATATGAAGACGAACCGCAATGCGGCTCCAGCAGCGGATGCTGTATTACGTGGATCGTACGAGTATTCTCGCAGGAAATAGAACCACGCGAAGGCGCCCACCGGGACTACGGTCGACAGAATCCTCGAGAACCACACTCGTCGGTTCGAACATGTCGTGCAGCACGTGAAATTGCCCACAAGCTCCGAAAACTCTGACGGGCGGAACCAGAAGAACAGAAGCTGAAGAAACGGTATCGAGAAGTCCAAGAGGTAGACCACGGCTGTGGGAGCGTTCAGCTTGTTGAAGAAGGTGCCGACCGTGAGCAGCGAAACCGACGCCACGAATGCGATCACGTACGTCAACTGAAGCGTCAAATTGACGTATTTCCAGGCTGCGATTCTCTCATGAGGCAGGGTTCCGGTGATGGCGCGATAGAATTCCTTAAGTGGAGTGAAGCACGAATTTATTTCTGCGGTCACGAAACTCCCTTTCGTCGGTGCCATCGCCGTATCTGCAGCGTTCCGCAGCACCTGCACGGGGCTTGACCGAACCTGGCGACCTGTCACCGCATGAACTACGGAGCAAGCTGAGAGGATCAATTAGAGCCGCCACTGAAAACACTCGAGTTTCGAACGGTGGTGGCGGGACCTACGCTGTTTACTCGTGATGCAGTCAAGGGCGATTGACGTATAGCGTGATATCGGTCGCGGACCATGGCGTGTATGAAGCCGCGTGTATTGATTGGAAAAGGACTGAATACAATTGGACATACCGTCGAGTCACACATTCAAAGTAAAGCGGTGTGAGGACTCGTCCGATCGGTCGTCCGGTCGGCAGACAAGTAACTTCATGATCGATGCTCAGGGTCCAGACCAATATTCTCCCCCGGGTATCTGCTCGAATATTCTTTGATCATCGTTCCGGTAGTTCACGTCCGAGCAGACAGCGAAAACAGGAACGACCTTGTCCCGTTATAGCACGGTACGGCTCTCTCGGTAACGCAAATGAATAACGGCGGAAGTCTGAACGAGATATCGATATTCGTATGGTACGTGGAACCGACGGCAAGCAGAAAGCCGAAACCTCGGGTGACTTTCCCCTTTACTACGCTCCCTCAGCGCCATTCCGCTGTCCTCGCTGAGCTCATTGTACCCAATTAGCGGCCGGATATGCTACCATATCGTGCATGAGCGAGCGTCTCCGAGGGGATCAGTAGTCTACGTAATCTCTAGTGAAATGCTCGTAGATCTCTCCGTTCACGGCTAGACTTTTACGAGGAAGTATGATGGGGGCGGGATCGGGCGCAAACTATCCGTGGGGGTTAATTCGTTGGAACGAGATACGACCATCGAACACGGCGACGACTGAATGAAGGATGATAATATGCGCTCGTCGAGTGTGTTTGTTGTTTTCTTCGATCGAGCAAACAGAAGCCGGGGCACTCAATTTTCTCATGGAACGCACGTTTTCCAAGCGGAATGGGAGGAGCGGACATCGCCCGCCATCATTTTAAAGAGATGGCGTTTTATCGACTATGAGAGAACGATTGGCCAGCTCGGTTCGGCTTTCTTGGTCTGTTTGCTCCTTGCGGCCGGCCGACCGGCCATCCAACCTGACAGCGAACGGGCGAGCTAAACGTACCGCGCATCATCGCGTTCAGCTGAGGGCAAGTCGTGACCAAGGGTAATTTAAATAGCGCTAGCCGGTGAATTCCAGGAGCTCCTCTTTAACTTCTAATCGCCGCTCGGCGAGAGTCGATCTCGTTCCACGACCGACGGTCCACCGCGACGACCGATCGAATCAAACTTGCAAGATGGAGGAATCGCGTCGGAACGAGTTCCCTCTTCGCCGCCGGTCCGCATTCGATCGGATCTTCTTATCGCGCCCTGGGACCAGAGGGGTATTCCGTGAAGAGAAATCACCTAGTCGCGGCTCAACTCGAAGTACTTCTCAAAGAAACTCGTCTGCGGATCCCCCGATTCCGGGTACCTTCCGGAGTGAGGAAAAATTGTGATGAGATCCGGGAACAGTTCGCTCGAATCGGAAGCCCTTGCATTGGAGAAAGAAAATCCAGGAAGTGTAGGTCGAGGCGAGGCGCTCCTGAAAGACGGGTCTCCGGGCGGAAACGCTGAAATGATCCAGTCGGCTCCTGTTTGCACCGGGTAGAGAGCGAGCGACAGCTAAATGCTCCAAATGATATCGCCTACATCCGTGAATGCTGCTGAATGAACATGTGTCGTCCGCGATTCATCTTCGTGGAGTTCATGAGCGTGCAAACACCTAGTGTGGTTTTCGAATCGGGATTTGCATCGGATAGTCATTATCGTCATTCGTATCAATCTTGTTCAAAGACATCTGTTTGACCTCTGAAGTGAGCGTGAGTGTGTGTGAGTCGATGCTCTTGGCGGAGGCTGATTCATTCGTCGCTCCTTCGCTCGCCGGCTCGTTCATTGGGTCCGTTCAGAGAAAAAGGTCCACTGATCATCTCAACGACTCATTCGATTCACAGTCGCAACTGGTCAATGCGAGAACTCGCGTGAGAAAGAAAACAACGATTTACTTTGACACCATATGCTCTTTGAGTGGCTACCGTGTGTCGTCGTCGCAGTCGCCGCGTCTGATGTTCTCTCTGCTGCTGCTCCTCTGGGCACCCGGTCGTCTTGGACCAAATTAAACCGATAACAGGTTCCCAAGCTGATTCTGATTTGATTTTGAGAAACGACGCGAATCTCAGGCTTTTCCCCCTCAGTGTATCGATCGCTGTCGTCAAACCGCTGCTAGCTCGGTCCGTCAGCTGACGAAGTTCGTAGATTGTTGTCGGAGGATGTTTCCAACACCGACGACCTGATTGTTTAGAGAGGGGAGTTTACGGAAGCAGCGGTTCGTCTGCTCCCTCAGTGAGAACATGAATGGGGGATTAATCGTTGGCTGTTGTAAACGGCCAGCCTCCGCATCATCACTGTCGAGTAGTTTTGTCTGTCGTAACGCGAGTTGTTTGTTCGATGATTCGCCCGACAGTCTCTCGAAGCCTCCACGACGCTCTCTCCCGGCGTCGGCCGGGCACTATTTGCGTAGACTTTGATGTCGTCTGTCGACTTAGTTTGCGGCCAGCCAGGCTGAATGGCTGACTATATGGCAGGCTGGCTGAGTACTCACGCCGGAACGACTGGCGGACAGTCTACAAACGAAACGTGTCGTGCTCTTCTTCCTCTTTTTCTCTGTCGCTTTACGGCCGCTGCTCGACCTTTCTCTCCGTCTTCCCATCCGTACGCAGGATGTCCACTGTCTCGAGGGCTCCGCGTATACGCTCGGCGTCTGATCAAGCTGAGAATCTCATGCGGTTTTCGGCTTCTGAAGATTCGTTCAGGACGCTACACTTGTGCCATAGGCGGAGGAGCGTCGTTGCATGGAGTCCTGCTCCTCGTCTCCTTCGGAATCGTCCCTTTCCTTTGGAAAGTATTTCCGCCAAATTTGTTGGATCACTCCTTGTCCTATGGGTACCAGTAAGATGGGGAGAGTGGTGGGGGGTATATGACACGTTTCGAACCGTCTCACAAATAATTTACGAGAAGATCCTCAATACGATGCAATGTAGCTCGATCACCGTCAAGGTCATGGCGTTTTCGAGAGAGTGGGCTCTCGAAGAAAACTAACGTTCCTCGTCGGAATTTTCCGTAATAGATGTCAAGTGTCAACGCGTCCATCATATCAGAGACAGTCGTGGACTATAGTGGCGGGCAGCCTCCAAACGGCCAACTGGGCTCACGCGAGGCGCAGATGAACGGGGCTTTAATTGACTGAGCCCTCTGTCGAGTGGGGTGGATGACTTTATTGCGCTTGCAGTCAGCGCTAACGGAAAGTCATATACGCGTATCGTAAACTCTTCAAAGGAAGAGTCACGACTCCAAGATGGTCTTTCTTGCTGATAACGGCAACGGTGGCGGGACCCGAAACTCAAGTGTCGGCGGAAACTTCGTGACCGCGACATGGAGACACTCCGCGGGGTTTAAAGTGCAGTGAAGTATACCGACCGACAGCCGGACCCGTCCGATCAGGAGCACATCCGATCCATGACTCTCGATAGCTCGGCTTCAAGTTCACCCATCCTAGAAATCAGGAGTCGGAAGGCCTAGATTTCGGAATTGGTTCCGAGGGTCTTTTTTTCCTCGATTGCGGTGATTTTGATTAGGGCACAAATCTGCACGAGCGGGGACCTGGTCGGGGTCGGAAACTTCTTTCCCCGTGATGGTTTTCTCAAGGATCGGGATGCGTGCTGGATTGGAGGCCGAGCGGGGAAAAACTTGGCGGGAAAATCGCAACGTCAAAAAGCCGATCAGAAGGCTTAAGTCGAAGCATCTGACTCGGTGGCTGGGAATTCAGCAGCGAGCTGTCAGTGAGTGACAAAATGACGATATCGGCCGAAACGACGTCTCCCAGCCTGGGCGGTCCCGGCGCTCCGTGATCTCGGTTTGGCCATC